CTGTCAAGAGAGTGCAAGTATATTCCATGGGGTAGAAAAAATATTTGTGAATTTTACATCTGATAAGGAATTATTCTCCAGAATTTACAAAGTGTTTGTAATACGTAACAAAATAAGCAACCTGTTTTATTAATGTGCAAGGGATTTGAATATGTATTTGTACAGAGAAGATATGAGAATAACTACAAAGCATATGAAAAGAGATTCACCACCATCAATATTTAGGGAAATGTAAATCAAAATGGTAATGAGATATCACTGCACACCAATGAATATGGCTATTATAATCTCCTAATTACTTATAAAATATAAATATGGATTTCTCAAAACAAAGATGTTTAAATGTTTAAAGAAATGCAAATCCTTATTACTGTTATGATCATTATGCATTTTATATAGGTATTGACATCATACTATGCTACAAAAATTGTCCTAAGTTAATAAAAATAAATTTTAAAAGTTATACACTAGATAGTGCTAAATATCAAAACTCCAAACAGGGATATATACTATATAATTTATCACAAAATGGCTATAATTTTCCGATAAAGATATAGTTTAAATTAATGGTCCTCTATGATTAAAATAGTATTGTGCTAGCAAATCTTAAAACATATCATGCTGAAAGCCAGTCCCCCAAAAGAGTGTTGCTTTAAATATGATTGTTAAAATATAAATTTCAAAAGATTATATATATTGAAAACATAAGAACTCTTGTACATTGATGGTGGAAATGGAGAATGGTGTAGCCACTGTGGAAAACAATTTGATGATTACAAAGAAAAAAATGTAAGCATAGAATTATCATTTTATCTGGCAATCCCATTCCCATTTTTATGTATATACTCAGAAGAATTAAAAACAAAAACTCAAACCGATTCTTCTATACAGATATCCACAGCAGCATTTGTAATAGCCAAAAGTCGAAACAAGACACATCCTCCAATGGATGAATGGATGAATAAAATGTCATATAAATAAATAATGGAATATTATTAATTGATAGAAATAAAATTCTGCTGCATGCTGTAACACTTGAAGACATTATGCTGAGTGAAATGAGTAGTAACAATAAGATAATTACTACAATTCTACTTAGATGAGGTATTTAGAACAGGAAAATTCACAGAGACAGAAAACAGAGTTTCCCAGGTGTAGAGGGAAAAAAGAAATGTCAAATTATGGTTTAGTGGAAAGGGCAAATTTTCTGTTTGGAATAGTGAAATTTCTGGAAATAGTAATGATAGATGCACAATATTGTAAATCACTTTGATGCTACTGAAATGTACATGTGAAATGCTCAAAATGATCAATCTTATGCCTATATATTTTCCACATATACAAAAGTTATAAGAAAATCTATGATATTATCAAGCTATAGATCAATTATTTAATGACTGTAGTATTATGTCTCAGATGCTCTATTAGGCAGGTAAATAACCCTATCTGATAACCACAATGTGTAACGTTTTAAAAGAATTTTGAAGTGAATTTGTGAAAATGTGTATATTGGTAGGAACTGAGCATTAAGAATTCTTTTTTGTGAAGACCGAAGAAGAAAGAACAGTAGAGCTACAGGTAATCTTTTCTTAGAGATTACCTCAGTGGTTGTGAAGAGCATATTGAAAAAAAAAAGCATGGAAGTAACTGCTGTTTGGATGAGGTATCACATTAAAATGAGGAATATGTAATTGGACAGTGGAAGAAAGAAGAGCCATTTTATACAGTTCCAAAGAGCATGACAAAATTATGTTTCTAACTTAGTTCTTTGTGGAAAGCAGAAATTTTGAGTTATGAACTAAGATATTTAATGGGACACATTTCTAACCAAAACCTTAGGAGGTTTATCATGATTCTGCTAACTGTTTAAAGTAAAATGAGAAAAGATAAAAGTGAATTAAAGATGGCATTTAAAATCAAATGGAAAGAAAGATTTGAAAAATGCAAAGCCTGGCTATGAAAAGAATGAGAGTGTGTTTCTGGACAGAACACGAAGTGTGTGACTAAGCAAATTGTAAGCAGGGAGACCATTAACCTAGACTGTGGCCTATGGAAAGATGACACTGGAAAGATGACTGCACGGGCATTTTGAAGGTCAATGGAGATGCCACTCCCCTCATAAGCCCACAGTGCCAAGGCCCTCCCAAGGATAGAACTGTATTAATAGAGGGGCCTATTTCCTTCAGTCGCAGGCCAGTGGGCCAGAAGTGAAAATACTCTAGCCTCTTCTGTAGAAGGGCACTGTAGTGTTTGTGTGTTTCCGTCTTCACTGATCTGTGCAGCATAACAGACTTGGGGGCAGGTTGCCTTCATCTAGAATTCAAAGGATGCTCTGCAGAGCCCTGAGATCTGGCAAAAAATTTAATTGGTATTGGGACCACCTCAGAGTCTTCACCAGACAAGTGCCCAGAGGAACTGTGAGGCAAGATCACCCATGCGATTTCAAAAAGTTAGAGTAGGTGGCATGTAATTCAGCACGGAGAGCTGCAGTCATACGACTCCAACATTGGCAGTTGCTGCATCAGCTACAATGAGCAAATATATGGGCTGCTGGGAGCTATTAAGAACCAACCAACTCCACACTGTCCGTAAGAGGTGGGATAGAGTTGGAGATGGAGATCACTACCAAGTCTCTTAACACTTCATGCTTCCTGCCCCGTTTGGTTTTAAATGAACTCACTATAATGTTGTTTCTTTCTTTCTTTCCCCGCCTCTTTTCTTTCATTTCTCCCTTTTTAAATAGAGATCTCTTCTCTAAACTTGCACCATGGCTGAATTTTGAAAACACACAACTTGTTTGATTCTACACGCTAACAGTTGGAAGGGAAATTGCCTAAGAAGGAATCTCACCTCTTTCTGATTTAAATGGGCCTTTAGAATTTAGTCTTTTTGGGTTGTTGCAAGAACATGTTTTGATTTTAAAGCAATTAGGATGAAACAAATATATTTTGTGATGAGCGTGCTATGAATTTGGGGGTGCCAGTAGTTAAATACTATGGCCTGAATGTTTATGTCCCTCTGAAGTTCACATGTTGAAATCTAAATGATGGTACAAAGACATAGGACTGGAAGTGCTTAGGTAATGAGGATGTTCCCCTTAAGAACTGGATTAGTGCCCTAATAAAACCGCTGAGGAAACCTGTATTCCCATTTCACCTCTTCTGTCATTTGAGGATACACAGTAGCTACCATCTACGATGAACAGATTCTCTTCAAATAATGATTCTGATAGAGCCTGATATTGGGTTTTGCAGGCTCCAAACTGTGGGTAATAAATTTCTACTACTTGTAAATTACCCAGTCTAAGGCATTTTGATATATCAGCAGGAATGGATTAAGGCAAGGGGGGTATTATTCTTGTGTTATTAACTAAGGACTGGAAAGTTAAGGAAGATAAATAATTTGACTTCAGTTTCCCAGCTATTATATGGCAGAGTTCAGGATCTGATTCATGGTTGATTTCTGTTATGGTTATATAAAAATGGCCCCCAAAAGTCTCATGGTTTCAGATATGGGGCTTTTGGAAAGGTAATTAGATCATAAGGACAGCATGCTTATTAGTGGTTTAATCCCATGTTTAATTCATAGCTGAATATGCTACCATATTAGGCTTAGTAACACATTCCTATAATCCCAGCACCCTTAGAAAGCTGAGGCAGGAAGTCTGCAAATTCAAGCCCACTCTGGGCAATTTAGGGATTTAGCAAGAACTCGTTTTAAAATAAAAAGGGAATGGGCCTGCAGTTCAGTGTTAAAGTCCTGGTTTCAATCTCCAATACCACAAAACAGAAAGAAAGAAAGAAAAAAAAAGAGAGGTTAGGATCAGTTGGAGACAGAACATGGGGGCACAGCTCTTTGTCTCATTCTGCTTCCAGCTGCCAGGAGAGGAGTAGCTTTCCTCCACCTTGTCCCTCCAACATGATATCTCTGTCTTGGTTCAAACTGACCTTCAGCTGAAACCTCAGGAATTGTGAGATAAAATAAACTTCTCCTCTCTTCAGCTACATGTGTCAGGTGACAGGACAGCTGACCAGTATAGCTTTGTATGTTTTCTCTGCATAAATATTTAATTCCCACAGTCACTCCCACAATGCTGATTGTTTTGAAGAGTAGAAATCATTATACTGAGTCTCCAACATTTGAGCATGATATATATGCTAGTGCATTTCATCCTCATAACTCTGTTAGTTAATATTAATGCAATTATTACATATATAAAAGGTGAGGTTTACCACCTGTCAACCTTGTTACAGTATAAGATGGAAAGCACTTATTCTAGGAGATTGGAGTGAAATATTGTCTTTAAAATGGCATTATTTTATTGTTATTGTTCAATCCTCGCTCCACTGACTTATTTGCTAGTGATAATGGGCAAGTTACTTAATTAATTTGTACATCAGACCTTTATCTGCAAGATATAGAAATTCTTTCACCAAATTGTTTTACTGAGTTTGCTTTAGAAATTTTGGATTTAAAAAAAAAAGGGAGAAATCTTGACTTTTATACATTATAGCTGTATTTCAATACTTTATAGCTACAAGTCATAGAAGGATTATGTTTAAAGGAAAATATGATGGATCTCAAAATAAAATGTCCATGAAAAATGTTAACAACTGAGATATGTTATAGATTACTCCACTTTGAGTGTTTTTTTTTTACTTTTTATTTTTTTTAACTGAATCAATAAACAAGTTTTAATTTTGCATTGACTTCATTTTTCTATGGTGGTAGTACCACATTCTGTTATTGCATTCCTAATTGTGAGAGTTTTAATTTTCTAGTTTGTAATCACACAAATAATTATGACAAGTAATTTAAATAGATTGAATATTTCAAGTGATACATAATCATAAAAACAAAGAACTTACTTGCTAAAATTAAGAAAATCTATATTTCATCATCTAGGTTATATATTTAATTTTGAAACAATATTCAGCTTGCAAGTTTCAATGCTCTTTCACTGTACTAGAATCTCAAGTTAATTTTGGCTTGAGACTCACCTTTAAGTAAGAATGACAATTCTTAAACATCATCAACTGGATTCAGACATTCTTCCTATAATCAGAAGAAATACACTTGTAGCAAAATGGAGAAAACTGATATACAGACTATTTCATTACATTTCTTCCACACAGTTGTTTCAATCTCTCAAAGCTTTCCCAAAGAGAAACTAGAGTCTTAACATTCAATACGTGTAGAAATGAATCATAGGTGAGAAGTGGTTAGAGAAGGTGAAATATCTTGTGTTTTCTTATACCTAAATTCTAAGTGTCCTCTATTCCCAGGTAATAATGAATAGCTCAACTTATAACATTCTTATTTGAGAAATTATTTTCATATGATCTCATGTGATAAGGGCTCAAGAGAGCCAAATCCATTGTGATAAAAGTTGATGGGATGTCTATCTTTTTCATACACTGCATAGCTCACTTCTGAGTTTGAATATTGCACTTGTGTATAATATGATGATTACTAATGCTGTGTCAGTTATTTCTATTGTCAAAATATCTCTGCATTTATATCTGTGTGTTTTCAACTTTGCAAAGGAGTTTTGTGATTTTGAATTTATGATGCTGTTTAATTTCAGTTTTGAAGCAACATCACCTCTATAATAATAACTAATTATTCAGCTATACCAATCAGTAACATCTTTTGGGACCAGGGAAATTCAGGAGAGTATATTCAGCATGACAATTACATATAATAAAAATATATGGATAAGGCTTAAGAGGTAACAAGGTGTTGGTAATAGGAGAGTAGGATTTGGAGTTACTTATGTGTTGAAATGGCAATTTCAACTTTGACCACTTAAGTATTTTTAGTAAAATTCCCTAAATTATAAGTAGGAGTAATAATATGTACTTCCTGGATTGCTAAATTGCAGTAAATTGTATTAAATAAAATTAAATTAAGATCCTCACATGAGATAGATGCTTAATGAGTGTTAGTTTCTTTCTTCTCTATTCAATAATCTTTAAACTTGGAATTACCTGTGTATGTTTCTCACTGATTTAAATAAAGATCCCTTCATTCTCCTAAATGTTGAGGAATGATAGTCTTTAAAAATAGAAGCTTAATTTAATACCAGATTACCAATCTAATTATTTTCTGAATCAAATTCTGCCAAATGATAAAACCCATTTACTTTAATAATAATTCCATTATTATAACCAGCTAAATATAGTTCTATTTTTTCTTGTGTTCTCATGAACATTTATCAAATGTGATTATTTTTATTTTTTACAAGCTAAAAAGTAGCATTATACTTATTAAGTCTTAATTAGCCTGGAATTGTTAGTAAAGGCAAACATAACCTAAGAGGATTGAGAGAATCATGGGCGGACTTCCTCTAGTTAAGTTTTTGAAAAATAGCAACATTGCCTGACACATTATAGATGCTCAAAATATTTGTAGATAATGCTGGAAAAAGCCTTACATAAAAATGACGCTATAAAAATCTTGCTGATAATTATTTTAGAATGTGGGTTTGGATTAAAAATATTGACTAAGCATTATGGAACACGCTATATGAATAAATCTCTCTGCACCCATTTCTAATCTCTAGAGCAGAGATTACACTTGTCACTTGTCTGGTTAAATTATATGCTGATCTTATAGTAAGTGTTCAACAAAGGTTAGCTGCTATGATTAGTTTGACACATGTTTATGTATCATCTGTCAAATTTTGGAAATGCATTTGTTTAAACTTGTTTCTGACATTAAAAACCCTGTGAGCTATATAAGTATTTTTGGATGTAGACATTTTATTTACTGTAAAGAAAATATATATGTACTGGAATTATATGGGCCATGGCAGATGAACTTGGAACTATGTACTGCAGTGGTGGGGAACCTATGGCACGTGTGCCACAGCAGTCTCTTTGTATCATTGGAAGCCCTAAATGGTTCGCCACCATTGATGTAGAGAATAGTACCTTAGAGACCTGTATTATGAGTCAGTGACAATTGAATGACACAGACTACGTGGTGGTGTCATAGGTTACCCATAAGAAAGGCGAGTTAGGTATGTGGAAACTCAAGACTCTAAGTCAGTGAAGAAAGCTTCTTTTCACAATTTTAGCCTCCAGCTCGAGTGAAAGTATTTTTCCAACACTACAGCTGCTCTCCTAACACTGACAGGACCTCGTGTAAATGTGTATCACAGAGGAAGGCTCTGTAGTTCTACCCTTTTTAAATCTAGGGAAGTTTTTACGTGTTTGTGGCTATGATACCAGACACGAGTTGCATTAAGGACATTGAAGATTAAAATTATTCTTTTCATTTTTGTTCTTAAGTGACAGGTTTCAGAAAGATTTCTTGGAGTTATCATTTTGTTAGTCTTTAATCACTTATTGCCTTTTTCAGTTTCTCATCACTGAGACACAAGAACTGACCACAAATTAGAGAGAGGTTTGTTTTGGCTTTCAGTTTGCAGAGGGTTCAGTGTACATTCGGCAGGCTCCAAAGTAGGGCGGCACTAGGGAGTGTAATGGCATAAGAGAAACAGCTATGGCATGACAAACAGGAAGCAGAGAGGGATCAAGGAAAGAGGGCTGGAGATGGACCCTGCCAAGTTGTGTCCCCTGTGATCGACTTTCTCCCAATAGGCTTCATCTCCCCACATCACATTTAGCTATGAACTCATCAGTGGACTGATTCACTAATAGGTATCATACCACCATGATTCAATCATCTCCCCAAAGCCCCAGCAATAAGCACATGAGGCTCTGGAGAGACATCTAGGTAAAAACCATAACACTTATATAAACATATATTTATTCAGTACTTACTGAAGCACTACAGGCTAAGTATATGTTACTGATGCAAAACACAAGTGTTGATTACCTGAAACATAGCAATGGGAAAGGCATACAACAAATGATACATATATGATAAGTGGATGAGACAAAATAGATGGGTCTAGGGATTGTATTAGTTAATGAATGACTTATCTAAGAAGCTGAAATTCAATCACAGATTTAAATGAAATGAGAATTTGGTATAGTTCTAGATGAAGGTAACTGCAATGAAGAGAGGTGAATTTAAGTGAGTGTATCAGGGCCCTTGCGTCTGTGGTACACTGAGCACAGGAAATTGATTAGAAATAAAGATGGAAGGTTAGTCAGGATCCACAAAACATGAGGCTTTTATGGACTATCATAAGAGACTTTTATATATCCTGTGTGTCTTACAATCATGGCAGAGTTTGAACATGGAAACTTATAATCAAATTTTGCATTTTGAGTGAATAATTTTTGCTGCTCTGAGATGGATTAAAGAAACCGATATGGAAGCAGGGTAACCTGTTAGGAGGTGATTGTCATAGTTACAGGAGAAAGAAGATAGTTTGGACTCTAGTAAAGAGTTTAAAAAGAGGATATTGTAAAATATATTTTAAGTTATAATGGAAAATTGCCTATGGATTGAATATGGAACTTGAGAAAAAGATAATACCGATGTTGCATTTTTTATAATTCTCAGATACAGAGTTATGGAAGGTTTGGTCCGGATTTGTTGTCTTTCACAAATCTCTGAAATGCGCTAAAATATTTATAGAGATTCTTACTTTCATTTGGCCCTCAGAAATTTCTTCAAATACTTTGGGCCTGTCTGAATCTAAACTAGAAATCTAGGGCCTCTAATTGATGACCACCTAAAACCTATGATAAAATAGAGTTCTGATGGCCAGGATATCCCTATATTTTAGTGGTTTACTAGGACTTTAAATACTATGTTATTTATCCATTCTTGCTCTTTTGTTCATGTCCCTGTACAACTACATTAAATATTTACTATACTTGAGGGATATAATAGTCCAGTGAAGGAAAGCCTAATATATTGATTTTCCATAAGAAACCTACAGTTGAGGGAAGTAAAATAACATTAATTGCATTATTCATTTTCTAATTTTACTACTATTGCAAAAATAGCACCAACGCGTATAGTATATGAATTTAGGCAAACTTTTAGACTGACAGAATGGGATAATATCAACAGACCAAAATACACACATCCGTCAATCAGCTAAACAACTGAGTGTCATATTTTACATGGATGGACATTTAATCTTTGAAATAGTTACAAAGAAAAATAACTTAACTACTATAGTGACACATGCCAGTAATGGATTCTGACTGATAGTATAATCAGACCCAGATAAGATATGAGAGATCAATTGTGGCTTATTTATCTGAAGGTAGAGATAGAAAGCCACTACAATCATGATATACATAAGAGACATTAAGCATATTCTGCATGGACAGAGTCCTGATAGTCCTTACTAACAAAACAGAGTAGTAAATGGTGACAGAGTGAAGATCCTTTTCTTTGGCATAGCCTTAAACGCACAAATTAAATATGATAATGATTCTATTAATTCTAGGATACAAGATGAAAACCACAGCAACTGAATTGTCTATACCCCATCCGTCTCAGATATAGCAGGTACATTATAACTACTGGGTAGAATAAAATGTATACACAGACAAGAACAAATTTACCTTTCACCACTCTCACCATGCCCCCAGAATCAGTGGGTACAAGCACATGCTTGAAGTGCGTTTCGTGGAGGTAGAAAAATGGTCAGACACCCCGAATTCTATCAGTCATTTTATTTTATATTCTACCAACAACCTTAAAACATCAGTGCAAATGAAGTCATTTTTCATACACTTAAAAAAGTAGCCACGGAAACTGGGCATGGTGATGCATGCCTGTAATCCTAGCACTCAGGAGGTTGAGGCAGGAGGATCGCTATGAGTTCGAGACCAGCCTGGACTACAGTGAGTTTCAGAGCAGTCTGAACTACACAGTGAGATCCTGTCTCAAAAAACAAACAAAACAAACAAACAAACAAATAACCAGGCAATTTATAAACATAGTGTGATTTATGAAGAATCAAAGCAGAAATAGAGTGCCTTTGTGTCTCTTACCATTCTATCTAATGTATTGTAAATCTACCAATCTATCTATACGCGTCCCTCTCATTTCAGGGTCCTACAGCACATCCTTAGTTTAGTAGAGATATGGGGCTAAATGATAGGTGGTTGGTGTGG